GGTGTTTCGCCTGCTGTCTGTCTGCAGACTTGACAAAGCATTAATTCAAGGTTTATACTAACCGGTATCAGTATGTTGTTACTTCGGCATCATTTTGAAACGTGTATTACAATTAAATCATGGTCAAATATGTTAATTGTGTTGTAGTTGTAGCCCCTTTGCCAGCGATTCTCTCTCTAGTTTAGCATACTCAGCCCGACTCAGCCTGGTTGTTGGCCCCGATAGAACCACAATTTTGTCGGGCCAGAAAAAAGGTAAAAAAGTAGCCCCGGGCCGGAACTAGGCATAGTGGAAACGCAACCAAAAACGTGCCCGGCACGACACGGCACGCTTAAACCGCGCTCCGCGCCATGGTGGAAATGCGCCATTAGTGTCCTTCCCTCTCCAGTCTGTGGAATACAAAAAGTGCAGTCTTTCAACAAACCTCAGAGGCCCAAGTCATGATCCCTGAGGTACACCCACACAAAGTAAATGTTCAGAATATCAAAAAATTCACCTTTAACGTCAAGTTTGCATTGCTAAAATCAGCTATGTTAAGCTGCTTAAAACAATGTTGATGAGATGGTTGTGACTGCCTTTAATGTCAAGTTGTAAAACAAAAAAACAGCTGCAGAATGTGGCGGCACACTTACGTACTCAATGAGTGTGTCTTAATCAAACGAAGCAAAATGAAGAATGGGGAATAAATGGAGACATATAAGTAAGGCAAAATGTCAACTTACCTCTCTCAAGCTTTCATGTGTGTTGCGCTGAATGAAGAATAGCACAATTACATTTAGGTGACCAACACCTCAGTCATTGTAATAATGACTGTCGTCAATCTGTCTTAAGTACATTGTTGTGAGACTAAGTTGCAGAATGATAAAAAAAGGACACACTTAATAGATTGCTGTTTGTTTAATGTTACTAAAATAAAAGCCAATGGTCCAACAGAGTAGTCATTTTAACCCAAACTTAGATGCTTCTCACGATCTAGATAGGTTTTGTGGGTAAACCTTATCAAACACTAACCCCATGGCCACATCATAAGACAGATTTATTTTTCAACTGTGTTTTGTAAACATTATGAAAGGCAACTTAACTCGATAGGTGCATCAGCTCAGAAAACGCTTCTATGTGGTGTCCTATAGGGCAGGTAAAGGGTGTATTTTTTTGTATAATCTGGAGAACTTTTAGTTAAAACTGGCTCTAGAAGACAGAGATTTGAGGATTCAAGACTTTATTGGGGGTCTTTAAGGGATGGGGAGAGGATCAAAGCCCAAGAATGACAAGAACATATTGGTATCCATGTAAATGTGTCCCTCTAGACTTCCCGTAAAGGATAATTGGATTGTATAATATGACACAACACATTCTCACTCCCAACTCGTACTATAGTGACGTTATGTCAGGATCCCTTGGCGTCACCGTCAAACGCAGTGGGGGGCCCTTTAGCGTCGATTTTCAACTATCAGGGAGTCCCATTGACTTGCATTGAACTCCCTGGACGTTGGTAATAGACGAGTTGGGATCGCGGAGAAATGCTCTCCGCAGACCCATTCTCACAGCGTTATAAGACCCATTCTTTTTTCTAAGAGTCTATGAAAAGTACTTTTTGAAGGGAGCATGGTATCAGTTTAGTTTGATTTCAGGGGTTTAGAGTTAGGTGAAAGTATTTGAGTCAAAGTGATCAGGGCTTCCATTCTTTGGTTGCGCCTTAATGATCTCCTTTTTGTTTGATTGAACAACAAAAGGTGTGTTATGAGTTTCAATTGAGATAGCCAGCTATGTTCATATGCCTGGAAACGTTCTCGAAATCCATCCCAGAAACCCCTCTTGGACCTCTGTAGATCCCTGAACTTGTCCAAGAATAACCATCCAAACAAAGCCAGAGGTCCCATCACTTAACTCTGACTAAAACAGTTTTTATTTTATTTCCAATAGCTGCTGAGTGTTGGCTCTCCTCACACACAGAAAACAAAGCGCTCAGCCTGGCGTCGTTGGATTTAATGCTTATTTAAAGTAAATGGAGGCGGCTGGGTGCCAGTCTAAACACTATCCGGCCTTGTTTGGCACTTTTTTTACGAGGACATGCTGATGATGATGTAGGATGAATTTGAGAGAGTCGCCGTGGAGTCTGCAGGGACAAACTCACATATATCTGTCTGATTCCAGCGTGCACACATTGAAATGCACATATATTATTATATTATATTTACTACCTGCTGGTACCCGCAGAGGAGGAGAGACGCCAGGCAGCATCCAGTTTAGAGAACTTTCAACATGGGCACACAGTGAGAGTCTTGTTTTCTGTATTCTTTGTCCAATACACTAATATCATTGATATATGTTGTTTTGACACGAATGCATTTGTTAATAAATACTATTTTGCCTAGAGAAAATAATGACTGAATAATTTCTTTAAAAGCACCAACATTTCACTCTGCATCAGCATAATGATATCACAGAGGAAACTGTAAAAGCTTAAACTGTGACTTCACAGTGACACAATATAGAAAAAGAAATTCAGATTTTCAATAATTATGTGATTTTTTGTGTCACCCAAAAAGTGATGTAGGACCACAAAAATGCTTTATACATATTTCGGAAATAATAATCTATTATATATTAATATTTTCTTACAGTAAGTTCCAATGTTATGGTCTGGACTATCCTATTTTTATATGAATGTATTATTCAACATTGCATTACTCACGTCACTTTGACCTTATTACAGATTTGCACTGTGTATTTTAGCATCATTATTAATATTAAAACACTACATACATTGAAATATAACATTTTCTACGTATGGATTGTCTTTATTGATGAGTCATTTACAAAAGAAATATAAAAATAAAAATTGTAAAATACTGTAATGATGTTTGGGTAAAGCTTTGAAAATTATAGCAAATAATGGAACTAATAACGTTAAAAAAGGCTTGTCTGGAAATGTCTTAATTACAACAGAAACCTTCATCATAACTTGTATTACATGCAGACCTAATCAACGTGACCTTATCATTGTGGTTTTACTATAGAATCAGGACACGAATGAACATGTTGAATCTGTTGAATCTGAATTAAGTGTATTTGTTTTTGTTTTAATCACATCCTTTTTTTGCCGGCTGTTAGCTGAGAGAGCAGGCCGCAGGAGGAGCGAGGGCAGCGGGGGGAGAGAGGTGGAGGTCCCGCTGAAAACGGAAAGAGGAGCTGATAGCAGCAGATTAGCTCCGGCTAAAAACGTCCGTCAGTTTTCCAGCAGGAATCTTAATTGCCCCGGGGGCCCTGCTTATCGGCCCGCGGAGGGTTATTAATACAACACCCGCGATAACAGAGACGAGAGACCCCGAGAGAGCAGCTGCTGCAGGAGGAAAAACTAACTCTCAGATTAAGAGAGGGGGGGAAATGCAGACTATTTTAAATATTGTACCTCAACCTCTGGAACAATTACATTTTCCTACATTCGTAGCTAATACTTTCTCTTATTTTGCGGCAAAGGGTGTCACTTTGTGTGAATCTGTGCTGTTTTTCAATCTCACCCTGTTGCTGTTTGAACTGAATTTCCCCACGGGGATTAATAAAGGTACATTTGATTTTATCTATCTTAAAACTGATAGGTTTTAAAAATGTTTTTCAACATATATACTTTTAGGTAATAGGGGGATTCATTTGAGGTTAGAGATAATAACCCAGATTGGAGGAAATCATATTTTGTGTTCATTTAATAAGCTTTTTCTATAGTTGATTGCACGTTTTTTTACCTAGAATTTTGCAAATAAACCTTTTTTAAAGTTTTCTTCAGTATGGTCTTCTTACAAATTCTACTTTGAAAAGCAAAATCAGCCCTTTCAAAGAGTAAAATGCACAAGTTCCCAGTAAAAAATAACACTTGTGACTGGGGCTTTATTGGCGTTTTATCATAATACGTGAAGAGTGACATTTTTAAAACTCATATGGCATTTATTGAATGGCTGCTTCATTACATCAAATAAGAAAATGTGTATATTTCTGGAATATGAATCATGTACACATTTCACTGTTGTAGAGTCTGACAGAACACATCTTTGAACACTTGGACATTTCTTAAACTTAAGAGCAAACAGTTAAGTTTAGAAACGTTGAGAGAAGTCCAACAAACCTCAGCTTCATGATGTGTCTTTTTGGCGAGCCATTTAGAAAAAAAATCAGCACACTGATGTCTTTCTGATAAAAGAGGTGGATATTAGTTCAGGAGTTGGTTTGTGTGAGATCTGCAGGGCCCATTTTATAGTAGAAGATGCAAAAACAAACATTTTACTCCCTTTTCATTTTAACCACCTTAAGTAAAAAGGGTTATTTAAACCTCTCAAGTAAAAGATGAGACAGGCTTCACCGCAGATCTTATTGACACAAATATACGAAAATACTATAAAAAAGTGTAAACCAGAGACAAATCCACCTGAATGTGTTAGTTCCACTTTTCCCCTATCATCAACTCTCTGGATGAAGTTAAACAACTACGGGTTCCTGCCTCTATTACCCTTTGACCTGACTGTTGACCTTGACGTGCCACTGCCCTTAAAGCGAGTGTGCCGCACGCTGCGCCTCTCCAAAGAGCGCACTGATTTACGCACGGGCAAACACAAGGACTCCAATACACTGAGCGACTGTGGAATCATTAAAACTACAATGAACACGTATTAAAACATAATAAAGCACATTTATAGATATGGGTGACCTTTTTGCAATCACAGGTTAAGACTCACAAAGTGATTTTTGTATTAAAATGCGTGCGTAAAAGGCTGTTAGGACGAATCCAGCGATGGATAAAGAGAAGAGAGGGGAGAGGAGTGGGGGTCAGTAGCTACAATTATCTGCCCACCATATTTATATAAGACCGAAAACAAAACCAGTACGTGAACACACGTGACGTACACGCCCCATCTTCCCTCTCTCTCCCCCTCGATTTCCCAAATCGCTTCCAGCCTGCACGCACTTTCCATTTCACACTCACCCCTCCCCCTGACACCAGAGGAGGCAGAGGCGCTCCTTCGCCCCGGTCCAAACTCCACTCACAAAGCCCGACATTACATCTGTCAGACAGGAGACCTGCATGGACAAAACCGGGACTAATACCCATGTTTTCGTGCGTTTCACTGCGATGAGGGATTCCAGAGGCTTAACGCACCTCCAATTACGCGAGAAGGAGCTATTAGGCTCAATTATTTGTTAGAGAAAGAGTGCAGGGAAAGGAGGAGTGCATGTTACTCCGTGGGCTTCATTTCCTCGGAGCTGCAGAGCAGGAGCTGGATGACATGATGCTGCAGAGTCCGCTCACCTCCACGCCGTTTTCCGTCAAGGATATCCTGAAAATGGAGCAGCAGCAGCAGCAGCAGGCCGGGTCTCTGGAGCTCCAGCACCGGGTCCAACCCCAGCAGTTACCCGGTTCTCCTCCCCAGCAGCAGCACTTCCAAACCCCACCGTCCTGCATGCTCGCTGCGGCCCGGGAAAGTCCTTCATTTTCGGACGGAGAGGACAACCTGGCGTACCTGAGCGCGCTGGCGGTGCGCGGAGAGGAGGACCGCGGGGACACCAGCCTCTCCCCGGACATGTACGGGCACCCCGGCCTGCAGGGAGCCAAGCTGGAGGCCAACGAGCTGGAGGAGCAGGAGAGCAGTGAGTTCAAACCGCTACTGTGCAGACAAAAGGCAACAAAGGAACCGTGCAATAAGAATCATTACATCATTATCAGGGTTTTACAGAGAAAATATAAAAAACCGTAAATTATAAATGTGTGCTGCTGATTTGAATGTAACAGTTTTGGTGGCGAGACAATCATTTGCATGTTTAGCAACAATAGCAGCTTAACCTGTAACCTTAACCAAAGTGAAATCATGGCTAATTAGACACGTTACCTATTTTACGCACGATGTAGTTCTTATATGTAAATTATAATTAAAAAAAATCTAATAATTTGTATTAACACGTAAAAGGTCATTCCTAGTTTAAAATGTCAAGCAAAAACTGGAAAGAAAAATACATTGTGTGTAATTTTCTAAACAATCATGCAGCTATTTTTTGGCCAATTATTCCAGTATTTAAATTATGATATGATCACTTGTGTGACCTTAAAAATTAGCCCCACTATAACTCAATCTATAGGCTGCACACATGCCAAATCCCTTAAAAAAAAAGTGAAAACACATTCTGTTTTAGAGATATTTTCTAACTTATGTAGAAAAGTATTTGTCCTAAAATGCCTACTCACCAAACATTATCATTATTATATTACAGAGTTATCCACATGCTGGAGGTCCCTAACTCCAGGCCTGAAGGATCCAGTCTGTCAAACAGTCTGCAGGGCTTCGTTACGCCAGTCTGTTATGATGTGTGGACCATAAACCGACAATTAGTTTAAAGAGGCTGTAAAAGAAAAGACACGGAGAAGTAGCTCTGATAAACACACCTCCAACACATGGGACAATTACTCATTAGATATAAACAGTTAAAATACTACTACACTACTTTGTGTACATAATATCTGTCTGCAATTACAATTGGCCAACTGTATTTTAAACCAATCCGATTTATTTTTGTACTTGCTGCACGGTGTATCCTTTAAAGATCAGTCTAACCAGGTGTGAAATTGTCTAATTTATATAATTGTTTCAGGCAAAAATGCTGATGAAATAATTGCAAACTAGATCTTCCCTTAAAAAGTAAAGAGTAATACTTGTATTTGTTGCACAGTATTCTTTATCTCCCTGTTTTATATTTTATGTGTACTTTAAAATATGTGATTTTTTTGTGCATGCACTTTGGCTTAAAACACGTGTTTTGTAATGTTATGGTCGTTTTTAATTGAAGCGATCTCATGTTTGATCCACTTATTAAAGTGTTTAGTGCTGCAGTTTCTGTTCAAAGTCTATAAGTGCACGGGTTGGGGCATGATTCCTGAGCTTTTTTGTGCATGTACTCTAGCTTAAAGTTTTTACATTTGCAGAAGTCAATTTCAATTCAGCAAAGGAGATGTTTCTGTTTGAGTTTTAGTCCCGGCAGTGGATATTACTGGATTTATTTTGAACTATGTAATGACGTTTTTAGTGCTGTGTAGCTTCAGTTCAAACACTGCTAAAGTGGGTGCGGACTAATATAATTGGCATATTATTATTTATTTTTCATAATGGTTTCTAAGCTTTTTTGTGTACGCATTCTTGCTTAAAACATATCTGTCATATAGGTATTTTAATAAAGCTAAGGAGAAGTGTCCTGTTTAAGTTTTGTGGTGGATATTTCTTGGATTTAATGTGCACTATTTAATACAGTTTCTACTGCTAAGACTTCTGCTCAAAAACTACTAAAGGTGTATTAGCTGTACACTGATAACGTTGGAATTACATTGTTTTTTACTTCTGAAAAAACATGTTATGATTTGAGATATTAACACTTCTTCCGTGTCCTCCCTCCCTCCCCAGAGAGCTGCGGTCTGGTGTCCCGGCAGGAGGCCTCGGAGGGTGGGCAGGCTGACTGTGATCGACCCGCGCAGAAGCAGCGGAGCCGGCGGAGGCCCCGCGTGCTCTTCTCCCAGGCGCAGGTCTTCGAGCTCGAGCGTCGCTTCAAGCTGCAGCGATACCTGTCAGCCCCGGAGCGAGAGCACCTGGCGTCCAGCCTCAAACTCACCTCCAACCAGGTGAAGATCTGGTTCCAGAACCGCCGATACAAGTGCAAGAGGCAGCGGCAGGACAAGTCTCTGGAGGCGGCGGGGCAGCACCACCCTCCGCCGCCGAGACGCGTCGCTGTGCCGGTGTTAGTCCGGGATGGGAAGCCTTGTTTGGGGGGAGGGCAGACGTACTCCGGTGCTCCGTATGGATCCAACCCGTATACCTATAACGGATACCCGGCGTATACTTACAATAACCCCGCTTATAACAGCAACTACAGCTGCACATACACCAGCATCCCCTCCCTGCCCCCCTCCAGCACCTCCAGCGCCTTCATGAACATGAACTTGGGAAATGTGAGCAGCCTCGGAGGATCAACACAGGCCCAAACTCACCAAGGGACATCGGTCACATCCTGCCAGGGCTCCCTGCAGGGGATCCGGGCCTGGTAGCCTCACCAGAACTGTGTATTTCTTTTTATAAATGGAGCTCTTTTATTTTGGTCAACACAGGCTTTTAGAAGTGTGTTAATTTGGTCAAAACTCCTCCGAAATTAGTATTTTATATTTTATATATCAAGGATGGGAGTTTGGATTCCTGGTAGCCTTACCAGACCAGTACCGTTTCTTTTTTTGGAGCTCTTGCAATTTGGTTTTACCCACAAGCTTTTAGAATTGTGTTAACTTGGTCCAAACTTGGTCAGAAAATAGTATTTTATATATAAAGGATGTGAGTTTGGATTCTTGTGTCAGATGACTTGACATTCACTCGTATTTCCGGTATACTTCGAGTCTATTATAGCTGGAATAAGTGTGCGTAAAGGCGTCAGAGTGGCACATAAACTGACAAATCTTGGGTTAAAGTTCTTTTTTCAATTATTATTAGTGCTCTATTTTGGCACTTGGACTGAAGCACAGGGGGGACATTACGCACAAGATTTGCGCATTTCTCCTTATTTGAACAAAAAAGATGGTTCATATTTTTCATTTATGTTTTTAAAATGGTATATTTTTAGTCTATGGAGAGATGAAATTGCTTGTTGTGTGGTTGTTTTTGGTTTAAAAGATAACTGTTTCATTCTATTTCACATCTATTCAAATAAATCCGAGACATGAGAACAAGGTGCGTTTGATTTTGTAAGAAAATATTTGATCCTCTTATTAGATTTCAAACGTCATGTGCTGAGCTGAAACTGTATTTTCTACCTAAATCATTTAAGAAAGAATAATAATTCTCTATATATTATTGCTCCAATTTGGGGTCACAGGGGTGAATCAAATGCTCAAATGTGTCTCGTAAACATATAGGGCAGATCTGCTGCAGGAGAACCGGCTAAAGGGACTCTTTGTCCCGGTGCCAGGCGAAGTGAAAGGAGGAAGTATAATTCTCCATTTGGGGTCCTTTAAAGGACGCGATTAGGCACCTAAAATAGCCCAAAAACCGAGCTGCAGCCACGCAAAGGAGTGGGAATAATGGCTCTTATTGGATTGTGGGACAAAAGGTGTGTGGTAGGCAGAGCCGGGCACTCAGCAAAGACAAAAGCGCGCAGGGGCCGTGAGATTGACGTCCTAATATTCCCATTTGAGGGATTGGCAGCGGGTTATTCTGCTCGGAGAATTGGGGACATGGAGGAAAAATGTGGTCACTTTTGTTCCCCTTCAGGAGGCTTTTTTTGTTCGCGGAGAAAGGCTCTCCAAAGGTCCCCAGCCGGGCTGGAGGTGATGGCAGCGGGGAGGCGTTTGTGTGAAAGAAGGGGGTATTATTGCTACAAGTTTCACCATTTATCCCGAAGTGGAGAATTGTAAAGGGGAGGAGGGGGAGTGAGGTTCATGTCCCGGCTATTATTTCAGTTTGAGGGTGTTATTTCAGCTCAGATAGAGGCTATTCTCACAGGTAACAGACTAAATCCTGACGGGACAAAGACTAGGGCTCTTATAATAAAAACTAAAAAAATCTTAGATGTAAGAGTAGACTAAAGTAGATGTAAGAAATGACAGAAAAACAGGAACATTTTACAGTTTTTTTCACAGAATCCATGAGTCTAAAGTGAGTATTAATAAAAAATAAAATAGAGTCTTGACAGGGATGTTTTAAGAATCTGCTTTTTTGGTTGCAAATGATCCAAAAGGACCAACAATTGGATTACATTGACCTGTTTTTATCGACATTTGAATGTTAACGTGGGAGTCATTCAAAAAGTAAATTTGATCAACCGTATTTGATTCCATCTCTCAAAATGGAAGACTTTGCAACTTCTTTCCGGTTTTCTGTGTAAATTGGACTTTTAGTCTGATGACAAATAACTCACTTTGGCTTGCAGTAAAATGGTCTGATTCTCAATTAGAATAATAACACTGTAAAGAAATACTTTAAAACGATAAAAGTTATACAGTCAAACGACAGAGTTGTAATATTTTGCTAACATTATTCTTACTGTTACAGCTGCTCAGGGTTGAGCTCCTATAAATAACTCTACATTTAGCTGCTCTTGTCTGTTATTTTATTGGTCAATTGGACTTTAAGTCTGACAAAGAACTCTTTTGGCTTGCAGTAAGTGTTTTTTTAAATGGGAGACTTCCAGGACGTTACAAAGCGCCTTTGTTTAAAACCATGCAGCCTAATTAGTGGCGTTAATTAGTCATTACGGACAAATAAGAGCTAAACAAAATTACACGCAAGGAAGGGGGTCAATTTCAGACCAAATTTGTTTCCTCGGACATAAACCTGCCAACTTATTTGCTGCAATAATTCCCACAAACAAAGATTATGGTGGAAATGGTGTGTAAATTACGCAGAGGAAGCGTCAATTGCTGTTTTTCTCTGCGCGTAATTGTTCCTCCGGCCTGAGAACGGTCGCTTCCCCAAAAGCCTTTCTGTTATAATTACAGCCACTCAGTGCTAATGTGGGACAGACGCTCCGCCTGAGAGGAACAGCGGGAGGCGCAGAGCTCATTTATTCTGGTCCTTATGGAGCTGTGGAGCAGCTGTGGTGACTGACAGGAGCTCAGGGAGGTGGAAAGTAACGGAGTACAATAACTGAAGTACATGTACTTTACAAGTAGTACTACACTTAAGTACACATTTGAGGAACTTTTACTTTATTTAAGTATTTTCTTTTGAACAATAATAAAAAGTGGGGCTTTTTTTTCACGACACTGTGTCTCAGGGCTTCTTAATATTTAAAAAACGATGAATGTGTCATACCGTCCTAACGGGAAGAAACTCAGCTAACTGACGATACGAACCATTTTTACCGAAACAAAACACAAGTCTCACAAGAAGGGTCTAAATGAGCCCTGAGCAAAAACATGCTAACGCACTTTCTGAGCAGTGATGATACCTGTATTAATACAAATTATAATATTTAAGTACTTCTACTTAAGTAGCAGTTGAGGAACTTTTACTTTATTTAAGGTTATGTGCCACTTACAGACACTTGATAAAAACAGAATAATCACATTAATACTAATTATTTTTATTATAATATATAGGTACTTCTACATAAGTCAAATGTGTACGTTGGATTTTAAGACTTTAATATAGTTTTATTTGTAATTGAACGGCTTTAGTTACTTTTTAGATTTTGATTATTAGCTTATACAAAATATTAAATAAATATGAAAGTACATTTACTCAATTACTTAGGTACACATTACCTTGGCTGGTGATTGGCTAATGGTTACACAAGCCAAAACATCGTTATGACATCATAGAGTGGCCAAAATCTGATCCGCTCATTTTCAGACAGGTTTTTATAGAAATGGATCAGGACAAAAAGAGAGAGAATCTTTTTTCCTGAAACTTTCAGAGTCTCTTTACACAGAGGGGACACATGGTGATGTAGAAGAGACATGAAGAAGAGGATTTTGCATAATAGGTGACCTTTAAGTCAAATGTGTACGGTGGATTTTAAGTATTTCTAGTTGTATTTTTAATTGAACAGCTTTAGTTACTTTTTAGATTTTGATTATTAGCTTATACAAAATATTAAATAAACATGAAAGTACATTTACTCAATTACTTAGTTACACATTTGAGGAACGTGTACTTTATTTAAGTATTTTTTTCTGTGCCACTTACCGAGAAAAACAGAATAATATTATTAATAAAATAATGATATTTAAGTACTTCTACTTAAGTCACATTTGAAAATCAGACCCTTTACTTAGAGTGATATTTTAAGGATTTTTATTTTTGTATTTAAGAGCTTTACTTACTTTTTAGATTTAGACTATTAGCTTGTACTAAATATGAATTAATTAACGTTGAAATATAATTATGGGTTAAAATATCCAGCACCAGTCAAATAAAAAATTCAAATATAATAATAATAAAGCACTTACACATCAGTAATTATAATTAAATGGATCCTGAAACGGGCCATTACGCACAACGAGTACTTTTACTCCAAGTTTTTTGTGATGGCAAGACTTCTTATATTACAGTGTAGTTTTCATTATGTAGTTATATTTTTGAATGCAGTACTTAGACTTGAAACAGAATATTTTGACAATTGAGTATTTCTGCTTTTACTCGAGTAAACCATGGTATTTCGGCGATATGAGGAAAGGTGATTTTTTAATTTTTTTATTAACATAAACAATCCTAAAATTGTGTAAAAACAAGTGATGTTTCCTGACTCCGCGGAGCTTCTTTACGCACATGTTGTTCCTCATCATTAGACTGAATTAAAGCTGATTAATTAGCAGCAGTAGGAGGAATACAGGTTACCATCGGGCTGTTATCGCAGAGATCAGCGCGTCTCTGTGCAGACAGTCGGCCGCAGATTGAGATCAGTCCGCCGTTAACCAGCTGATCTGTTTGGGACAAAACAGCGTTAGAGAAACAGAGAGCCTCCTGCTAACTAATGGGGATTAACACAGAGTAAACACAGAGTAAACAGAGTTGATAAGCCGAGGCCGCAGGACAGAGACTGATGGAGCAAACAGAGAGGAGACATGGAGGAGACATGGAGGAGACACAGAGGAGACAGGAAGCACCGATACACCTGAGAGAGAATAATACAAAATAATACAAACATAATAGTCATCCAAATATCAGAATCAGAAACAGGTTTGTTACCATGGTGACACGTACGAGGAATTTGACTTTGTGTTGTGGTGAATACATACAAGTAAAAAAATAGAGAACTATTATAATAAAATATAATTACATGAACAAATATTAAACATAATACAAAATATAGTAATATAATCAAATATGCATGTACTTAATACAAATGACTCGGTGCTTAGTTTATAATGGCAAAAGATAAGCACATTTGTAGTCAACTGTATTTCCTCAAATATTTCAAAGTACAACCTGAAAAAAAAAGACTTAAAAATAACTTTCTTTGCTGGATTTTTGTAAAAGTTTAGAATCAAGTTTATTGCAGGTTAGGGTTTACACACTATATACGCTTTGGTGTCTGGTGGTGCAAACATAAACAATATAAGAAAATAAGTTGCAATAGTAGGTCAAACATATAAAGATATTACATTTAAGTATTTTTAAAGAATCTATTTAGCATTAAAAAAGAGAATAGAGACTAGAGTATTTACACTACACAAAGGATATATGAAAATATATTGCAAACTACGGTGTTTATCTGGTACTTTAGCAAGTACTACTTTCTGTGGAAAATACTGTATGTTATGTTATTTCCTTTTTAAACTAATGTTGAGTTCTACCACTGCTACCATAATATTCCTAAAATGATGTAAGATGTAAATACATTCTCCAAAAGAAGAAGTCCTGTATTTAAAAACGTAACTTTAAAAGTGTTACAGTATCAAAAGTAAAACAATACAATAATAATAATGTCCGAGTTGTACTATTGACATGTTATCATTGTTTTAACTTAAAGGTCACCTATCATGCTATTTTTAGGCAATAGCATAGGTCTCAGATATATAAAAATATATAAAAAACATGCCTATGAAGTGTTTTGCTCAAAATACCAAACAGATCCCCCATTCTAGCCATGCCTCATATCCCTCTGTTTCACTTCCTGTTTCAAAAGTGCTGATTTTATGTATAAAGCTTTAACAAAAGAAAAAATTGGATACAAAAAAAAAGAGGGGTCTGAGCTCATGCGGGACCC